CAGGTGGGGCATTCATAAAGTTGAATTGATTATATCGCATCATCTGAAATGAAAGGGTTTCATTAATGAGGCACAGAATGAAAAACTTTTATTCAATCAATTCACAAAGCATAAGAAATGAGTATAGGATCCAAAGGCCTTTTGTGAATTCTCTGCTTTTAAAATTTGTATTTATTTATTAAAATGTTCTAGAGTATATAAATTTTTAAATATATATATATATATATATATATAGTTTTAAAAAATTTAGACATTTAATATGCCTGCATATGTGTCTGTGTATCACTGAGAGTGTCTGGTGCCCACAGAGGTCAGAGGAGGGTGTTGGACTCCTTGGCACTGGGGTTACAGGTTACAATTAATGTGGGTGCTGGGAATCAAATCTCTATTCTCTGGGACAATATCAGTACTCTTAACTACTGAGCCATCTCTCCAGCCCCATATGCACAGTTTTTCGTATGTGTTCTTCTGTGTGCATATGGAAGCCAACCCTGCAGATAATGTTCCATAGGAACTATCTACCTTCTCCTTTGAGACAGAGCTTCAATGCTGTCTGGGACTCCTGATTAGGGTAGGCTGGCCAGTCAATGAGCTCCAGGAATCCTCCTGTTTCCACTCCCCAGTGCTGTGACTGTAGGTGTGTCAGCAAATTCAGCTTTTTACTGGGGCTCTGGGGGTCAAACTCAGGTTTTCATGCTTGCACAGCAAGCTCTTAACCAACTGAGCCCCTGAGCTTCTGAATTTGAAGTCAGACTTCATATTTAATTAATATAGAATAACAGAAAATAAACATAATTTACTTTTGAAGATTTTGAATGGTCTGTTTATTTGGAGTTCAGGATTTGAGAACAAGATAATTCCATGGTAAAGATAGCTGTTTTGCTGGGTGTGGTGTTATACACCTCTAATCCAAGCACGTTTAGAGGCAGGTGGATCTATGTGAATTAGAGGCAAGCCAGGTCTACATAGTGAGTTTCATGACAGCCAGGGCTCCATAATTGAGAGACTCTGTCCCCAACCCCCCCAAAAAAACCTAAACAAGCAAACATGTAAAGTTTCCTGTTTCTATTATATATGGAATTTGACTAATGATAACTAGTTTGAATTATGTTAAAGTTACACATAAATATTTACTTTCTAATACTCCCAGGTACGAATGGCTCTTTATTAATGGACAAAAATGACCCCAAAGCTAACAACTCAACTTTAAGATTCAATGGGGGAGAATAATTTTGCTTAGATTTGAATGTGAGACTTTTAATTTTGTCTCTTCATAAGAAATTTTTATATTCTAAAAAATATCAACAATCTGGCACACATCTCTTTCAGTACAGAGTGGAATACATACCTCTTCACTTTTACTGCTAAATCCAGGCATTCGGGGCATTGGCATCTGGAACTGAGGGAGAAATGCAGAGCCTTAGCTGAAGTAACCTGTCAGTTATCCCAAGAGTAGTGCAGCAACAGAATACAAAGAAAATGTCCAACATAAGAAGGAAACACTCACAGGCATGGCAGCAGAGTTACCAAGAAGACCCAGCAAAACCAGGAAAATCTCCATTTTTACATTTGGTACCTAGAATAGAAAACTGAATATTATTTTGAGACAGCAAAATGATTATGCTTTGAGTACTCTGCAGTTAGTTAGGGACTAGTTTATGGGTACTCTACAGTTAGGGATGACCTTCTTTACTAGTATATCAAGGAGAGTTCAGAAATGTGTGTGTGTGTGTGTGTGTGTGTGTGTGTGTGTGTGTGTAGATAGGAGAAGAGTGGGAGAAGGGGGCACAGAGAGGAATGAGGGGATATTTTAAGAGTTTATAACCTGAAAAACCATAGTATTTATGATTCTTAGTGTCCCCTTGCCAAGTTGGCTTAGAAGGGCATAGTAAGGTCCAACCATACCTATTGTACATGTCCTTGGTTTCAATGATGTACACTTCAAAAATAAGGACTTGGAAGTTTTCTAAGATACTGTTCCCAACATTGCATTATATAGAAATATTAACATTCTAGTTAAATAAATTGTAGAATTTCACAGGGTTATTTTTCCTCTGTATTTCTATTATTGTTATGGCTTGACCTTTAAGGATGCACTTTTGCTCTAGAGCTTGTCATGAAAAAATAAGAATGAAGAGATAGAAATGGGCATTTTGTCTCTTTCTTAGAGAAGTAACTCTCTGAAGCTAGTATGTTCAGTGTAGGTTTCAAAGCCACAAGGAAGTGAAAAGAGAGTGGGTAGAGGATCTCCTTTCTCACTGTCTCTAATATTGTGGATCAAGGCTTTTGGGAAGCTTTGGGTGTTCATCTCATTCAGTTACCAATTTCATCTTTATAATAGTCACAGTGACTCTAGATTGTATACTCATGCAGGCAGACATATCATTTTATTTTGTGGGCATAAAAATGTGAATTATTTTCTATTTTGCTAAACTATCAAATTATGTTGGGTATCTTTTAATGTCCCTGCTGTCTCAAAAAGAATGGAACTGAATAATAGTTTCAACTTATTTTTTGACTTGAGACTAATACTCAGTGGCTGATATTAAGTGCAACCACTGTAAATCTTTACATCTGCCACATTATCTTACATATTTAAGTGAGGTTTTATCTTCTCAAGAGCACTCAATAACCTTATAGATTAAAAGAACAGGTAATAGAAAATTAGTGGAATACTCACCAAGTTACATGGCTTTGGAAGAGCGGTTGGATTTCTGCACTGAAGCAGCAACATGTTCTCACCAAAATTTTCATAAGCCTTTTGGGAAAAATAAGGAATTTTGCATGAGAAGAAACTCAAATTTGGAAACAGAGCAAATAAATTAAATGAATAGCAAAGCATCACCTCTAAGGCAGCCCATGGCATGCTAATTATTTTATCCAACCGTACCCTTATTAGAGGGTCCTCAAAATCGAGCTTAATCTTCGGTGCTTTAAGATTAGGATGATGGCTAAATCAGAGAGAAAATGAGATAGGCATCGTATTTTGAGATACTTATAGTGCACTGTTGACAAAACTTCTTTATGGGAAAATGTACAAGGGTATAGTGTTAAAGGAAGAAAACCTATAAGAGAAAGAAACACCAGATAAACCAAGGAGTTTAAGCTTTTATCAAAAGATAAGTCTACAAAAGTGATTTAGAAACAACATGGAACACAGTAGGAAAGCTAACAAACATTCATAAATAAAGTCATTATTTGGCACTATACAATATATATGTTGACAATGTTTGATACTTACCCAATGCCACTGAGAAGCTGCACTATATAAAAAGTAAACTTGAACTTTGTTAACCTGTCTTTGAAATATGTTCTTACTAGTCTATGGTGGAAATGACTACAAACTGCTGAAGCCAAAGAAAGCCAAGGAGCAAGACACATTTATTTCTTAATAATAAAACAAAAATTCTTCAAGAAGGTGTCATGTTCAGTACCCAAAAGACTTAACATAAAAAGATCCCTCCTTGTCAGGAGGCTTGATGGCAGGATCACATTTAAGCACTGTTGTAGACATGCACAACCAATCAGCTTTGAGGAAAATGGTTTTGCCATCACAAGAGTTTAAAGTAAAAAAAATCGAGTGCACAATTTATACTGTGTTATTATAGGAGCTGTGGAATGAAGTCTCTTATTATCTATAATAACAGCTCAGAAAAACAAGCTTACAGCAGTAAGATTTAGAAGGTGCTTTCCTTATGAATTTGGGCTTTGAAGTAAAGAAACTTCATTTATACAAATATATTTTGGGAACAAAAGTGACTATTAACTATATGCTACTGACATAAACCACTGGCCACCTTCAAAAGGTGGAATGATATAGATCTAGTTGATATATGGTTAATATATAATTAAACTGGAATGTTTTATCTGTGATCAACTTAGTTATTTGGTGTGTATTATATAAAAGCCTAGAGTATAGTTCCTTTTAAAACTCAGATGTAGCTTAGTTGTTTGGGATTTAGGATTTTAGGGGAGCTGGCCAGAATGGCAAGTAGCTCCCAGATGTTTAGGATAATGTAACTTTGGAAAAACTGTAGTTGACAAATTCATTTAGTGTGGTTGTTTGTTTGTTGATTTTTCTGCAACCTGACTTTTCATGATAAAGACTTCACTTCTAAATGAATCCAATTGTGCTTCTTCCCAATAAGAGTGAGGGTAGCATTCTTGGTTGATCTGGGGTGCTCTGGTCCTTTTATGTCTTCCTAAGGGAACATGTTTGTCATGGTGTGCTTGCTTAGTTTAATGCTAGCATTTAAAAACTGAGAAGGACTGAATTTGCTGCCTAAAGCTGTCTCCTACTTTTTACTCTTGTGTCCACCCAGTGGTTGCACATGTGCTGTTCTTAGGCACGGGAAGTGTAGTGTCTCTTCTTGAGCTGTACAACACTGAAGTTTTCAGAGCCCCTATTTCCAAAGTTTAGTGCTACAGAGAATAAGGTGGTGTTAGAATAATAGTCATTAGGTAAGATAGAAATGTTTTTCAATCTGCCTCCTGAGTGCTGGCATTAAAGTTCATGTCATCATGCCCCATTGACCTAGGTTTTAAGTTACTGGGAGCAGAAGTCTTTTGGTTTCTTACTCTTTGATATGGTAAAAAAAACACTAGGTTTTAAGTTATTGGACTGAAGTTTAAACTTATTATTACAAATTATCTGTCTGCTTGTCTGTTGAGTAAGATGGAGGTAATACTAAATGGCTCCTAAGTGTCTTTCCAAGACTAAATGAAACAATATGCAATACAATTAATACTCAGTGACTGACTCCGAAATAGTCAAGGCACTTTTGTGGGGTGTGTGTTAATTTTTAATGATTTACTAATGACTTAGGAGTATTACAGTTACAGTTTTCAAGTAAATCCTTTCCGGAGTACAGCTATCAAGTTGAATATCTGTGGCTTGTTTTTACAGGTAGAGTACGTAGGATTAGTAAATGAAGCATGTTGTACTCCATCTTGGTGTCAAATACTGTTTCTGCATCCAACATATTGTTTTCTCTCTGAAGCTATCCAGATCTCACTAAGTGCGAAAACACCCTTATAATAGGAAGAAGATGAAGAGGAGGAAGAGGAAGAAGAGGAAAAAGAAGGGTGGTTCTTCCTAGATCTCTCACCGATCAAGTGGTGAGTAGTGCTCTTTGTCAGCTATTATGAACATCTACATTACAAACCCTGGCTTAGGTGCCCACAATTATTCACAAGTTATTAGGATGGGAAATGTACTTGGTAGTAGGTTCAAATTTTGACTTCTAAAATTTACATGTTTTAAAGTCTTGGTCCACTGGTTTAATCCTCTTAAGCCTCAGTTTTCTCAATTGTAAAACAAGGGATAATAAATTTTAGTAGTTTTCATGGGTATTTGAAATAATATTTGAACATCTAGTTTAAATAAATATAATATGTAAAAATGTTACCTTGTTACTAATTACTTTTATTATTGTTTTTCAGTAGTTGCTTTATTACTAATCACTGACATATTTCTAAATATTTTTGAGTAATATTTCTCCTTACTATGATTACTTATTTATCAAAACAAAACAGCATCTGGGCATGACAGTGCATGTCTCTTATTCAGCACTAAGGGGGAGAATGTAGGAGGAATATCATGAGTTTGAAGCCAAACTTGGCTAGACAGTGAGGTTGTATCTCAACAAATAATCGAACAAAGCAAACAAACAAATAAACAAATAGAATAAACTACCACTACCGCCATCACAACAAGAAACCTCTAAAAGGACAGCTAAGGATCCATGCAGCAGTTCAGATTTTGTCCTATTTAAATTCAGCATTTGGTTCACAAGGAGGAACATGGCCTAGGGAAACCGGGACTAACTGCTGGAAGGTGGTTATTTATTTGGACCGCCCTCAAAGGTAGTAGTTACTTTGTGGAGCTCTGAGCAATCAACTCTCTTATGTATATATATTCATGATCAGCTTTAAGAAGATCAGTGTGTTTGCCATATTCTCTGTCTGAGAGACAATGTAACCCAATGCCCAAGGTCACAGGACTTGGGATTGGATGTACTGAGTGTTGAAAGCAGCACTTGAGTCAACGAGCATCCCCCATGGAGTGGGTATTTCTTTACTTCCTAACAGTTCATGAGTGGTTGTGATGCCGTCTCATTATGGAAGTAATATTCTTGATCACTTTTCCATATTTTTGATGTACTTTATTTATTCATTTGCTATAAAAATCTGGAATACTATGGGTTTCCCATTCACACCAATTGTTAGGATGCTTAAATGAACAGTGGATATAGGACATGAGAATTCTAAATTAGTAAAACTTTAAGATATCTCTTAAGAAAAAGAATGGAAACTATGTAAGAAACTAAATACATGTTTTTAGTAATACACTTTTATTTTGAATTTATGTTTTGATAAAAGAAATATGGCAAATTTTAAGGAGGCAACAAGCAGAACAAATACTATAAAATGTGGAAAAACACTTTTTCTAATGTCAGGAGGCACCTCCGTAATGCCATGTGATCTGGACACTTCAACCTCATTTCCTCTTTACTGGTTTCTAGTGTCAGCTTGCTGCATCTTTAGCTTACATGCCAACTGAATAGGTATTGAGAATTGGGTAGAAGGACCATTGCTGCTGGAACTTTTCCTGTGTAAAGACAGATGGCCAGCAGTGTTAGAACTGTATACTGAAGGTGGCTGAAAAATCACAAAGGTATGTTTTACTAAACCCAAACTCCATGTCCCCTACCTAGCTCAGCTACCTCAGAATGCCCATGGCCATTGCAGCACTATTTGATTCTGGAAGAATCATGAGGCAACGTGGAAATTAACTAATTTCAGGGAAATTTTATGAGATTTTTATGCCTGCCTTCTGATTCTCTTATTGCTATCTCTGTTCTGTCTGATAAACTTTTGAGAGTAGAAATACAAAACTTTTAATTGAAAGAAGAAAATAGTGACAACAAATGTCATAAATGCTCACCTCTCAGTGAAAGTAGCTTGGGATGTATGAAAACATGAACTTCGTGCTAGGCACTGCTTAGTGCCTTACACAACTTATTTAGTATTCATAAAAACACTGCTAAATATGCACTGTGATCCACCGCCCGAATGTTACTGTTGAAAAAATGCAATCCTAATGAAGTTAAATAGCTTGCCCAAGGCTTAATACTGTAATTTGGAGCAGATCTATTTGCACTTAACCATTTCAATTAGTTTGTGTATGTGTGTGTGTGTGTGTGTGTGTGTGTGTGTGTGTGTGTGTGTGTATGTATGTGTGTGTGTGTTTCAAATATACATAGACAGTGCATGTATTTTTAAGTGTGGTTGTCAGGATATAAGCTCCAGTGTTATGTAAAGATTTTCTAGATAGAAGTGCAGTGGGCTGTGAACTTACATGAAATGAATCTGTAAAATCTCATTTCTAAATACTGACATTAATTAAGAGTGTTCAAAAAACCCAATGTCATGGCAAATGAAAAAGTGAAAGCTTTGCTTTTCTTGACAACAGAAGACAAAACTGTTAGTATTGGGGGTATGTTGTGTGCCAGGCAAGACAAATCAACTTCTAAATGAACAGTTAGAGAAGACTAGATGATGGAGTAGGTCAAAGCTCATTTAGTCTTTTACGTCATCTCTTCCTAGACAACACCTAATCACTTTTTTTTTTCAGAAATGCTTGCATTTCTACAGACTGTCTACATTCAAAGGACACATACATTCCAAGCTCCCTTCCATATACAAGGACAATTTACTTGCAAACCTATTTATGGATTTTGTATTATACCAATGTCCACCAAAATTTATCCATCCATTCACAGAGAATGGCTATTATAAATCCACCTTCACTAAGTATGTTTGACTTAAATTTTTGTAGACCAGACTTACTGTACTTTGCTCATAGCTGAGAAGTAAGTAGAAACTGGGGTTCTGGATATTCCAGATATGAAGAGGTTAGGATGCACAGGGAACGAGTTTGCTGTATGAACTGTCAGCCTCCACTTCTTTCTTGCTATGAAATCTTCATCACAGGTCTATGCAAACACAGACTTGAGGGACAGCACCAGAGTTGGGAACTTCAAGTGTCAGTAGCACGGATTTTCCACTTTTGGCCTTATTTTGGTTCTTCCTTGCTCTGATGACAAGATTGTTCTGAGTACACCAGCAATGCAACATCTGCACACCTACAAGACACATAGGTACACAATTCAATTGAACCATCAAAGGTCCAGTAACTGGAAAAACAGCTGAGACTTTAGAGAAGTGAACATTTTTCTTTTGGTGTGTGTTTTCATTTTGTTTATGTGTATGTGTCTGTGTGAGCATATGCCATGAGTATATGGGTAATGGAAGAAGCCAAAAGAGGGCGTGGGATCCTAGAGTGAGTGCTGGAGTCGAACTGGGGTCCTCTAGAAGCAACCACCTCTCTTAACTGCTGAGCCATCTCTTCTTCAGCCTCATCATTCAGTAAGATTTTAAAGAAAGGGTTTTCCCATAATCTTTATTGTAAGGCTTTCTGAAGATAGGAAATGATTTAAAAGATAATGAATGCTTTTAGTTTTTATGGAGCTTGTTTCTAAATAAGTAAAAGACTCTTCCATGAAGAAAGACACTAGGTGACAAAACAGAAACTTGAAGTCATAAAGATTCATGCCCTGGGCCGGGCGTTGGTGGCGCATGCCTTTAATCCCAGTACTCGGGAGGCAGAGGCAGGTGGATCTCTGTGAGTACGAGGCCAGACTGGTCTCCAGAGCGAGTGCCAGAATAGGCTCCAAAGCTACACAGAGAAACCCTGTCTCGAAAAACCAAAAAACAAACAAAGTAAAACAAAACAAAACCAAAAAAGCCCCAAATTCATGCCCTGGGCCCTCCAGTTCCATATGTCCGAAGTCTTGTATGTTTGAAGTCTTGGGGTAGTCCTTAGCTCCTCTTTTCATTCTCAGATGATCCAGTAATAAAGATGGACACAGAATGAGATCACATTACACATCCCCATCCCTGGTGTCTCTACAGCATTGCATTACTGACACCTCTGTTTCTTGCCCCTCCTTAGCATCTTCTCAAACCTAATGATACTTAAAAAATATAAGTTGTTTCATAGTTCTCTTCCAGTGGCTTGAAGTCAGTCCTTGTAGTTCCCATAGAGCCTTTCATGATCTGAGTCTATTCCCCTGGTCTCCAGCCCTTAAACTAGATTCCTTCTCTGCACGAGCCACATAGGCCTTACTGCTCTATATGGACCATACCAGACTCACTTCTGACCTGGGACTCTCAGTTCTTCATGCAAATGCCCCCTTGTCAAGAAACCACATGTCTTCCTTCCTGTATTACTTTTCTCCATCTTACCCACTACCAGTACACAAATGCTTTCTAATTTAAATTTTGTTGTCTTTTTACCACAATGTAAGCTCTATAAAGGCAGGACAGTTTGCTTGTCATGCCCTGTATCTCTAGCACCTGGAACAAAATAGGTAGCCAAGAAATATGTATGCAATTAAGTAAAACATGGCAATTAGATTCTCTTATTGAATAGATAAGGGGACTAAGGTCTAGAGAGATGAATTGATGAACTTTTTATTTTTTTAAGACAGGGTCTCATGATATAGCTATGGCTGGCCTGAGACTTGATATTTACAGAGGCCAGCCCGTTCTCTGCCTTCTGAGTGCTGGCATTAAATTATGCACCACCATACATGGATGAGTTGATTATCTGTAGTATCTACTATTGGTTAAAGTTAGATTTATAGGTGTTGATTTTCAGTGTATTGTGGATTTTCCACATGAATTTTGTTTTGCGCTAATCTTTTTAAACTTTCTTTTTATTTATTCTTTGTATCTTTTACATCATCCATCTCAATCCCATTCATTTCCCATCCCTGTGTATCTGCCCTCTGCTCTTGAAACCCCCTAATAAAATTTAATAGAAAAGAGAAAAAAAAACAGGGAAAAATCTTTTCATAGAAATTTTAGTGTGCATCATGCAGTAAGCTGTTTTGCCCATGTATCTTTACTTGCAAGTGTTCATTGCAGAGAGTCATTGGTCTGGTTTGAGAACTCTGGTTTCTGCTACACTATCAATGCTGGGCCCTCACTGAGACTCCTCTTGGAAAACCTGCTGTTTCCCTGTGTCTTGAAGATCCTGCAGCTTTGAGTCT